TTAAAATTTTTTCAAATGAGTAGTCAAGTCTTAGTTGTTGAGTTCTCCATGTATATGAATTTATTGGGTACTTTTCTATTTACTGAAAAATTACGACTAATCGTTGCATGATTAAATCACAACATGCAAGTCTTCAGGCGCATTACATTGCTAAGCGAGTCAAGTGCCTCGAGCTCGCCATCTTTTCTCTGTTACTAAATATTGTTAGTTACTGAACCGGCTACACTTTGAAGATAATCGAGCAAGCCTTTTCAGCGCTTTTCAACTCAGTGAGTGTTAAAAAACAAAACCAACCACGAATAATGAAGCCGGATCAAGGAGCAAACATTGCCAGATGTTTAGGAGTGTACAAAGTTGGTGAACCTTTCAAATGTCTACAACTACAAGTATGGTTCTCGATTTAGTTTATAACTACGTAAATTTCGAAACCATCATTTTTAAGTGTGTATTCTAAACAAACGTATATGTATCAGGAAGGTAAATTTCAAGCTTGACTCGATTCTAATACCAATCTAAAGCGAAATTATGAAGGCCAATAATCGAGTTACGTCAGTCATACCACGAGTACAAGAAAAAACGAATTTTTTTATTCAGTCATTTCTTCGTTCGTTTAAGCCTGCCGCCAAAGAAATCCCCCTTCCATCCATCAAGCCTTTCAGGGCTTCATCTCCAAAAACGTAATTATACAAACCTACCTATTTAACTATATATACTGACTAAATCAAACTAAGCCAATTGACCAGTCGTTCTGATCATAGTACAGCGTACCTTTCGGAATTATTATAAATGGGACGATTTCACCAAACACCACGTGTTAGAGGTGGGAAACAATTAAAGTACGGTCTTCTAGGTGGTACTTAGGAGTAATGTGAAGGATGAACTTTTCCTTTTGCAAATATATTCTTAAAGTTTTTGCCAAAAAATTTGCCGTCAAGTCGATGATCAATTAAAAAATTTGGTATGCCTAACTTCAGGTACATTTACACAAAATAGTAATCGAAGAATGAGAAAATACATCTTGCAGGACAAGCGGGTTCGATGCTGATGCAGTTGCGTGACATTCAAGGTCTTGATGGCACAGGAGGCCGACCAGGTATTGGTGGAGGAGGAGCCGGTTTGCCTGGCGCATTAGGTCTCCTGTGATAAAAAATTAGATAAAAAAAATGGTGCATTTACATTCCTGAAATGCCTCATGTCCGAACGAAGAACAATAACTAAGAGAATTCTCTTGCGATAACCAAATGAGCCACCGCTTTTGTTACACAACTACGTTTCAAAGCTTCTAAATGCGAAGCGGACAAGAGCAAATTTAATTACCTGGGTACAGAAGGAGCACTGTCTGGTCGGGATGGTACGCCTGGAACGGGACGGGACGGTCGAGACGGTGGGGTAGGACTCGGATGACCTGCCCTAGGAACAGGAGGTTGTCTAGTGCTTCTGTAAGAAAAAGTAAATTTAATATTTTTGTCGTTCGTTACATAGATGCGTGCTCCATAATATCCCTTAACATTGGAGAAGGATTTTCTCACGTCTTGTCTTGAGCGTGGGACAAGGAAAGTTCTAAGTATCAATAAGGAATCTAAACTGGCTCCTAGGCTCTCGTTCCACAGAGCCACAGAGATTCTACGTTGGCTTGGCCATTACTAGATTCCTTTTATTCACTTCCTTAAATCCTTTGTATGCGCTTGGATGATGGACCATATTCAAATTTAGATGACATTGAAAATGGCGGTCTACGCGCGCAACGTCTTGTGGTTAACTAAGGTCCCTAACGTAGTAGGTTTTCATCCAATCAGTTGGATTGTCCCTCTTTCGTTTCGCCGCTGCTTCACTTGTTTGATTCGCAAATTCTTGGTTTCAAAACAGAGAAATTTGGTGGTCTCCAATTTAATCTACAGTCCTCTAGGCCTTATCCAAATTTCCCACAACCTCGTCCACAAAAAGAATCTTGCTGCTAGTTCTCTCGTACGACAAATAAGACAATTTCAAACGAGTCGCTGTATAATCTGGACTAGCATCGTTAAAGTCGGATAAGGCTAACTTCAGCGTTTCAAAGACGTCATCCTTGACCCTTTGACCCCTTAGACTGACTAACATCAACTTTCTCCTTACAATATCACCCCTCAATCAAACATTAAGGTCACGAGAATAAAGGAAATGATCACCAACTAAAGAAGCTCTTGATTGTTAAACAAATTCTCCTTGATAGCACCTCAGCAAGTGTAGAGAAAATAGTATGGAGAATGTGCATACTGATGTTAGAGTGTAAAAATTTAATACCCGGGAGGCTTGTATGAATCGAGTAAGTCACGGTCCCCTGTGTCGACAGGAGGTGGCAGCGATGTGGTCACGGTATTCGCGTCTATATCGCTAATAATCCGTAGAGCTTCCTTCAAACTGTGGAACATGCGCAGCATTTCCTCCCGACGAACGACTTCAGCTTCGCTTTCTTTCATCAAGTCATTCTAAATCAAGGAGAATAAACACATCGCATTTTTCCGTGAGCAGGGGGGTGGGGGGAGGGGGAAAGGGAAGGGGTCGCTTAAATGTAAGGTAAATGTGAGAAGGCCCCCTGAAATGGATCTCATCCCTGATTCAAGGATTTAAGAAATGAGACGTCAAAGTAGATCCTCTCTGTTTTTTTTTTTCGTTGTCTTTTTGTTTCGTTTAAAGTAGAGTCCCGACCCTGGTAGAATCTGATTGCGTTGTTAAATAAATTTTTAGAAATTATAGTTTCTTTTCGTTACTCCGCTCAGAGTAGGCAAAATGTTGCGGATCAATTTCAGTACCTGAGAAACTATGCACCTACCTCTCCCTTAATAACCCAACATTAACCCTAACTTGTTATTAGGTGACTGTTGTTGTGTTAGGGGAGGAGTAGGTGCACAGTTGCTGAGATATTACCATTGTTCCAATGTTGCTTATTCAAGCTTGTGCGGCGTGCGTGGACAGTCATCAGTATCTCTCGTTTGATTTTTTTTTTCTTACCTGATTCCCACCCGAGTATAAATGGGCTAACAGCTCCTGACCAATGAATTCCTTCACCTAACGTGTGTTAGAAAAAAATGCATAATATTATTGACTGTCTCGACATTCGTCTGTTTAGACGTACAGAAAACTTCAGATAATGAGTATGACCGAATGAAATAAAGCTGGCGCAAAGTCGAGTAAAAAATGCTTCCACTGATCTGCCAAATGTTCATAAGTATAAAATAAGTCGTAACGATTTGTTCTGGAAACAATACACACGACTAGGTTTGCCGTAAACACCACGCGGTCGCGGTCGCGGTGTGTACCGGCCATTGTTCCTTCTACCTGAGTCTCAGGGATGTCTTTAAGCTGTGCAGGTTTGGAAACCAGCTCGCCTGTTGCAACAACATACTATTGCAAATTAGATGTGCTGGAAAAATTTACCAGAGCAATCACTACATAAGTTTGCAGCGCTAAAAGTGACTAAAGCACCTTCTAAATAGAGTAACGACCACAGCAGCGTGAGCTTACATTATTTATAATGAAGAACATCACAGTTTTAGGGACGAGGTCCCGGACAGTTTTGCTGACGATCTTGATGTAAGAATCCGCCAAGTTTCTGATGGTTTCCACTTGACGTTCCATCTGAGGATCTAAGGTGCCTATCTCACCTTGCTATAAAATGAGAAAAAACCGAATGAAAGCAGGCAAGGCAATTTTCAGTGAAGTATCGAGAATCACCTGAGTTTTGCCTCAATGCGCGCGCGGCCATTGGTCAATAAAACTTGCGTCAACCTCTCCATCAATCAAGATAATTCAGGGGGTCTTCAATAAAGCAATAGCACTTTCTTTTCTTTCTTCTTTTCATGCGGTCCTTACCAAGCCCTTATCCTCCGATGTGTCTCTCTCAGGGTACACTCCGGCTCGAAGGAACGAGGCTTTCCAACTGTCTATAACGTCCTGGTTCTCTCCTGCAAGCTCCAACGCTTTGTGGTCTTTAAATAAGTTTCTTAAAAAAAAAAAAAATAAATAAAATAGTTACTCGCAACACACGAAGCCACTGTCCTTCGTAAATTATAGAGAAGCTTTGTCGCCAGGTAAAGCATCACCAAAAGCATTTTATTTTAGGAGATGCGTTACACCCAACTACAGCAGTATTATGATGATGCATAATAACGAAACGACATTTACTCATGCGCACCAAAAATTTCTTCTGTGACAAACGAACACTGCACGTAAACTGGAGATATCGCGCAACCGTACTCAACGTCCCTGTTTCTCTTGAAGTTTCAGACTCCCAAACGCACTAAGAGTACAACAAAGAAAGGTGAAAAATCAGTGGTGTCCAACATGAAAACAAAAGGAAAAAAATCGACTTACTTTTGATCAGGATTGAAGATAGCAAAGGCAGCTTTTCGGGACATGAATCCTGCCTCAGCATCACGCAGGCGCACATTATCCAATCTCAATTGATATTTCTGTTCCTTCTCCTAATAATCAAACGGATTGCAGGCAGAGTGAGTATGGTGGTTCAGTTGATTATAGAGATACACGCGCTCTGATTGCCTTGCAATAATCGTCCAGCTCTGGACGATTTTACCGCAATACGCAAGAACTAGGTTAAGATAGGAGGCAACAACGTGCGGATGTTTTGGAAAGAGTTGATAGTTTCTGAGTGGCATAGTTTTCCTTAATATTATTATGAAACTAAATGTATTTTATCCAAATGAAACCAAGGAAACGCGCCAGTATCACCATTGGGATGCGGGGCGTTCTACAGAGTTTTGCAGAGGTATTTCTTCTGCTTTCGCTCAATTTCATTCCACCCTAATGGTTTCCTTCCCTTCCGCCCACCAACTAAGTGAGCAAATGTATATTCTCTACATATCACTTTGTTGGTTTTGTGTTGATAAGTGCTTCAGGATGGGTTGTGGCTTGGTTGCCATGGCGACTTCCTCGCCACTGAGGAGAATGATGTCTACCTCTGTTGATCTTTGTTTTGAAATCAACCTTTCAGACTACTGACTTAGTGTTTTAACCCTTTACATTCCAACATCAGTATGCATATTCTCCGTACTGTTCTCTAAACATTTCCTAAGGTGCTGACAAGGAGAATTTGTTTAACAATCAACGGCTTATCAATAGCTGGTGATAACTTCCTATATTCCTGTGACCTTAAAACTGATTCAGCACTGATCTTGGAAGGAGAATTTTAATGTTAGTCACTTTTAGGTGTCAAAGGGCTGAATCAAGTTCAACATACCTCCTCGTCCTTGTACCATGAAAGCGATTCAGCTGAAAGAATACATAATGATAATTACCGTGACGTTATCACTACTTAGGCAGCTAGTCATAACCATTACAATGTCCTCAAATGTGATTGGTCCATTTGCTGTTTTATTTTTCACTAATTATTCTGTAGAGTTGTATAGGCTGTAAGCGGATATCCGTGTTTGGACAGTTAAATTAGCCAACCACACTAAGTCCACTCAGCCAAATCCACAAATCACAGAATTGATTATAATAACCATGGCAACAATCACATACCCTACAAATTGTGGAATTTCCAAAATGGAGGATTTTTCGAATTATGGTAATAATTATGTTTATCGTTTTTCAGAAATCATGATGGCTAGGATTAATTGGTAACAGAATTTTAACAATCTTTAATCAAAATTGTGATTGACAAATCAGACTCCTGGTTCACTGTCCTTCCATTTTGTATTCACTTGCCTGATTACAGACCAAATTGGACTCCACTGGGTCTGATAACTTACCAAGGTGTTATCAGCAGATAAAATGGAAGCATGACTGTAGCAGACAGTCATAAGGATTTAAGAGCCTGGATATCCACACACACTTTAACTTATGCAATTTACCTGTAAGTACAAACCAGTACTCTTTGCTGATTCCCTTCATAAATCCTGTATTGCTTATTGTGAGCCAACCTTTCCTAATCACCTGAGAGGAGAAAAAAAGTGCAGACGCCAAATTAGAAGCCAAAATGCTATGATTGAACACACTGCTGATCTATATACTTCTCTGCACTCCTCTTATTTCGAGGTACAGAAACTGAGGGTTAACATTGATTAAGATGGTCCACTGGGCTCCAGGACTTAACTTAGAAAGTGTAATCATCCCTTGAAGATTACCCCATTTCTGTCAGATTTTCCTGGCAATTAACAAGTATTCAATTATACTCCTGAGTTCATTATCCATTTACCCCCCAACATCAGTATGAATCTTCTCCAAACTGTCTTCTATCCTTTTCCTTAGTTTCTTTCAAGGAGAATTTATTTAACTATCCATGGTGATCATTTCTGTTATTCTGCAACCTGAATGTGTGATTCAGGGGTAACATTGAAAAGAGGAATTAGATGCTGGTCACTCTTTGGAGTCAAAAATGTAAAAGAAAATGCTTAACCCCATAACAGAAAGTACTCTTGCAGATATGCACCATCACAAGGTAAGTCAGCAAAATAATGTAGTAAGTGACATGATTCACTTCCAGCTAAGGAACTTTACAACCTTAACCCTCAACTCCTACAGGTAATTGAGATGTAACTTCTCCCTATAATATCCATAAATTATTCAGCAAGCGGTCATGAGAATACTCAAACTTATCAGGTAGAAGTTGTTATCTTGATCTATCTCCAAATTCTCTTAACTAATTTACAAAGAAATGTGTGGCAGCTGGAGAAGAGAATTTACATTCAGATCTTGGGAGTCAAAGAGTTGAGGGACAATTCAACCAAAATGACAAAACACACCTGATTGGAGATAGTTCTTTTTGTTTTTTTTTCACCAGGATTGGATGTACTTGATGCTCTGTAAAGAAAATGCAAAAAAATTAACCCTGTAATCTTGTACTGCATATTAAATAAGGAGCATTCAGGGAGAGTTTGAGTTAAAATCTCGTGTCAAAATATATTTTTGAAGAATCACTTTCAGTGAAAGCACTTTAACTTACGCTGCATAACCAATAAAATCAGGATGATTTGTGTTAATGTATGCAAGCTCCATATCAATAAATGTTTTGACCTGTGGATAAAATTAAACGTGAATTACATGACTTTTATGAAATTAGCACCAGTACATGAAATGCATGTTACCAAAAGCATATAACCTGATGACATTGTGTTCCATATACTCTTAACATTTACAAGCATGTACTCGATGTGTATAAATCTTGTGAGATGTTGTAGTGTTAGGAATGTGTTCCAAAGAATTTCATGACAAACAACACTACCAAAATTTTACAGCAGTCCTTGCACACCTTGGTTGGAGACTTAGTGACCAAATGGTTAATGTACTGGTCTCCAGGTTGAGAGAACCTGGTTCAAGACTTGACCTAGTTGTTGTGTTGTGTTCTTGGGCAAAGCAATTTGCACTCACAGTGTCTATCTCCAACCAGGAGTATATATGGATACCAGAAATTTGTCAGGATACCTTATAAAATGCTAGGGGGTAACCTTGTGATGGACTGGCATAACATTCGGGTAGGGGGAGGTGAGGAAGCAACACTCCCAGTCACTTCATGTTGGGGAAAACGAGATGAGCTCAATTAAAAGTACACAAATCAATCTCATTGTAATTGTACCTGGTCTTTAGATTTGGCCTCTCCCTTTCTTCCATGTTCTACAACAATTTTCTCCACCTGGTCCCTCAGTAAAGGGTATTTGTCAATCTGCAAATTAAATAAATCCACTTAGATATCACATTAAATGTTACCTTGAAGATTATGATAGTATAGACCCCTGCATGAGGGTTGCTTGAATTAGCCAACATCAATTGAAAGTGCACCCACACATACCTTATCTTAAATATTTTATGACATGCACACTTTTCAAACTGTATTTTAACAACTGTATATCCTAAGTATTCCAATCAAGGATTCTATTCTGTTTTTTTGACCTACCTAGGTAGTCATTGGTAATATGGTTCCTCTTTTTTCCTTTGATTCATTCATTCAGGGAAAAATCCATCTTTATTTCAAGACTCAAGTCCCAACTGAATGCTGACAGTTTGACTTGGAATTAATTTTAGCTAGCTGACAGAAATCCTCTGCAGACCTGAGATTGATAACTTCCATTATTTACTTACTCATCAAATTGATTTCTAACCTAATTTTAATAAGCAATGGACTTGAAAGAGAGTGCAAGTTTCAGACCAATGTCAGTATCTCAACAACTGCTCCCCTCCCCCTCCCCTAACCCTCTAACTTTTTGTTAGTTGACTCTTGTTGGGTTGGGGGAGGAGTGGGTGTGTAGTTGCTCAGTTACTGACATTGATCTTAGGTCTCAAAATGATTGTTGTAATTTACAATTCCATTTTACCGGATCTGTACATTTCTTGATGACATTGGTTAATTCAGACATAACCATATCCACACACTTCACTGCTGGACTCCTCAGTTTGTCAATTTGCCGCTTTACTATTGCTTCAAAGGCCATATCAGGAGTGAAAAGACCAACCCTATCATGAAAAACCAACCTCAGTAATGGAAATAGGACTGAGCAAAGTCTAGTTAGGTCTGCAAAATAAGAAAAGTGACCAACAAAATCAAACTAAACTGCAGATTTACCTGATACCATGGATGTTCTTGATGGCAAACATAATTTCCTTTCTGAGCTGTTTCTCATCAAATTCCACCTAAAGTGTAATAGAAAAGGGGGTAAGTTTCTAAAGAAACTGTGGTGCTGCATCAGTGGGAGAGTATAGCAGATAATTTAATGTTAACAACTGAGTTGAAACATAAATTGACTACCGTAAAGAGTAAAAAAGTTGACATTTCGAGCATTAGCCCTTCATCAATTGCTCTGACAAAGGGCTAATGCTCGAATGTCAGCTTTTATACTCTTTACAGTGGTCAATTGATGTTTTCAATTCAGTTGTTAACACTAAATTACCTGTAATAGAAAAGATTCCATCAAAAATCAATCCAGTTATAAATGAACTTAAGTGCATTCACTCAAGACAAATCACTTCTCCAGTTTTAGGCTAGAGGGCAACTTAAGGTTACCATTGACAAAATCTGGTCAAAAATTTCAAAATTTTGTTATTTCATTGCTATTTACTTAGAGAAATCATCTAAGCTTAATTTGTTAAAAGAGGAAATAGAAATTCTAAAAAGAATGCAATACAACTGACAAAGTGTTTTAGAGTAGCTGGTATCCAATAACAAAAGGTGTAATAATCTACAATTCTCCTGCAAAGTTTATGTTTTTTGTCTAGGATCTCGATTTGCATATTTTGTTTACAACAAATATTGCACTGCAAAGAAGAAGTGAATTTCTGTCACATTTCCCCAAACATTGAGAAATCACAGGCTTCATGAAAGAGTTGAAAAAAGGAGTTGCTTTGGGGTAATGAGCACTTGGAGCAGTTATCATATTTACCTTAACTAACTCATATGGGAACCTCTCATGAAATATCCTGTTGATTTTTGCTCCACCTGAGAGTTCTTTGGTATCAATTGAATCACCAGACCCTTCAATGGCTTTCTCAAAATCTCCACTGAATTGCTGTATCATCCTGTTAAATAAGAATTAACAGTCAAAAAGAGAAAAAGAAAAGGCCTGATTCAAGAAGTTAAAATTGCCAAAAGTAGATGTACTATATTTCAGAGTAAAGAACTAGTTCTGATAAGCACTGACTCATCTTCTTGGGTTTGCAATGGAGATGCAAGGGAATATTCTATTTTCCTTCCTATTTAAGAATACATTTTCTTGAAAAATAATAAACACTGACTTCAAATAATGTTTATGTGCAGACCACATTCTAATGAAAAAGAAAAGGTGTTGATTAAAAACACCATCAAACAAACTTATCTTCTATCAAGTCTCAGGAGTGAAAAATAAGCTGCCATTCTGGTTAATGATGATCATAATTTTTTGAGTGCACTTAATCCAGACATCCAAAATCAGTGTTTATTAAGCTATAAAAAAAGGAATACCAGCCATTGTAAGGAAAGTGCAAATA